TCCCGACTAGTTCCTCCACCTGGGCCCAGTACTTGCGCCTAAGCTTGTCAAAGTGCGCGTGATCGGCTCTCAACTTCAGACGCAAGCTCTCGAGGCGCGCTCCTTGCCGGGCACGATGACGGAGGCAAGCCAGCAACTCCTCAAAGAACCTCTGCGATACCATCATGTCCATCCCGTCCACGATGACCGTCCGCAGTCTAGGACAAGCGGTCGCCGGCAATCCGTGACCCGATTGGTGGGCGACATTGGGTGCTGCCATGCGTAACCCCGTCCACGTCCGTGTAGGCGACCCCGAACCCGTGAGCTCGAGAGTTTCCAACATCGGGTACGTTCTGAATACCTCGCACCAGGCATCCGGCAGGAAGGAGCTGCGGTGGTCTCCTTTTACACGCAACCGCGTCACCGGGAGATCCTGGAACACCTGGGCGAGCTCTGTAAGGCCAAGCGAGAGGCTTGTCGACCAGTCCTGAACGGGCTGCCCCTCGGAGACCAAGCCGAACAGAACGGTACCCCGAATCCCATCGGAGCCAGGAGGCACTGCCCGTATAGCATAGTCGCCATCGGTCATTTCGAGTTCCAGCGCGGTGACGGAGGGCAGTACCGGCAGCACCTCGGTAATGTTCTCCGGCAGTAGTGCAGCGATCGTTTGGCCCTCCGGCTCTAGCGCAAAGTTCTCGGCGTGGGGCGTTACGAAGATCTCCACGTAACATGTGGGCGGGAGGCGTAGGTGTGATAGGAACGTGAGTCCGTACGAGGGCCAGTTGTGGGAAAGGCGAAAGCTGGACAAGTGAGGCAGAGCCACAGGGAGGAACCCAGATACATCCCTGCCCGAAAGGCCGTCCAGGACATTGGCGATAATGAGTCTTTCGAGGCGCGTGGATGCACGGAGAGCTGCTAAGAACTGCGACAGAGTTGGACTTGAGCCATAACCGCAATCGGACAGGATCAGCTCCCGCAGACCAGCGTACAGGTGGATGTCCGAGGGGAGTTCGCCGTGGGAGAGGTGCAGGGAGGACAGAGCGGGATAGTGGGCGGAAAGCATCTGGAGGGTGATGCGCGTGTCACGATCCGTGGCGGATATGGAGAGGTCCTGGAGGATCGGCATGGGGCGATGGAAGAAGGTTTGCGAAAGGGTGCGTGATTGGTCCGGGCAACTGATACTGATAGCCTCGATACGTTCAGCATGGGCAGCGACTGCCTGCATCATCTCTGGTGAGGGTTTGGACAAGTGAATGTGAAGTTTTGTGTTGGCTGAGCGATCCAGGCAAAGATTCAACCATTCCGGCACATTCCCAGTGATTCCGATTGTACCCCAGAGCGTCGGCGCCGCGCAAGCGACGTCCCGCCAATATGAGCAGACGAGCATGAGGCGGACCCATATCATGTCGCGCCGGAGACGGCATGGCCAGAGTTCGTAGTCGACAGCGCTGAGCTGAAAGACGCGAACGAGCAGCTCGTTGGGGAGTTGGTTGACCGGTAGGAAGGAGTTCCACAGCCTGCGCAGGCGCACTTCATCGGCATCTAGAGCTCGGAGCGCGTCTTGCAATTCTTGCCGCTTAGACTTGATGACGTTCAATTGCTCGGTGACGTCGGCCTGCGTACGGAGCTGCAGCGGTGAGGTCTTGTCCGCCACCAGTCCCGCTCCACCATTCGTGGTACCCATCCCGGCGAGGCACTGTGGTTCCCGACTAAGGTATCCGTCAGTACAGACTACAAAGGCTGCAAGGCTATGTATGACACACTTTGTGATCGCTTCTTGGGGCTCAGATCGTGTATCAATATTCGAAAGGTGGTCGGTAATTGCGACACCGACTTGGTCAGGACTGGCGGTGATGGTGATGGAGGACAAGCTACAGTTGTTCTTCACTGACACGTGAGCAGATATCATAGACATGAGCATACAGTACTTACCGACTACACGCACAACATACGACTCTTGAGCTCTCTTGAGTCGTCGGTCGGAAAGACGATCATGGTAGACGCCGCGTCAGCGCAGTCGCGATAGATAAGCGCTCTGGACATCATTCAATTTTGGTGATCATCCACTGGCCAGAGTCGTGTCTGATCAGTCCCTTCACGAACGACCGTCTGGAAAGGACAGCGAGATCTACCCAAAACATAATACATCCGTCGAGGATTGCATGCAGCCTCCAACCGTTTATCGCAGGGACTCGATACAAGCACTCCGACTTCGTCCGATGGACTCGGAGTCCTCGAAAATTGAAATCGCCCATACAATTCTGAGGTCCTCATACAATCAAGTGAATTCAAGAATCCTTGTATGTGAATACATCTCGCCAACCCTGCTGCTCCCTGTACTCAAACTCTCCGACAAGGTCCGCGAAAATTTGCCGGGCGGCCCTGGTACGCACCTCGACCTCTGCCCACTGCTGCTCGTCCAGGCAATCCAGGTCGAGCACGAGCTCCTCCAGCTTTCCGCCTCCCTTTTGCGCCCTGTCAACCAGACACACAGCCATGAAAGGGAGAGTGCGACCTATCAGATCGAACAGGTGGTCGTCTTTGTAAGTATCTGGGGTCGCTCGAAACCTGCGGACGCGGACGACACGGAGGCGTTGCCACGGCAGTGCGCCGAGCACGCCGCGGGGGTCGGGGGCGTGACCTTGCGCAGTGATAGTCACATCTCGCAGGAGCGGGAGGCTCCCGAGGACCAACCCCCAGTCGACGCATTCTTCCTGCCTGGCCTCGATGTCGATATGCAACGTCGACACGGGAGCGGCGGAGAAGATGGTGAGTTGGCGGAGGCTCCGTGCGACTTCTCGCGGGTCTTCGGCCGCTTGCGCCTCGCCCTCAGGATCTGCCAGTGCTTCCCACGGCTCCAGGCCTTCTCCGCGTAGCCTGTGGATGATGGGCATGCGAAGAGAGAGCCGCCGACGCTCGGACTGGGAGTTAGCGGACGGAGCATACGCGACTAGGACGTCCTCCGACGCGCGTGCCTGAGCGTGCACCTCGGTGACAGAGGAGAAGATAGGCAACACTGTTTGATAGTCCGGAGGGAGGATCGCGGAGATGCTTTGCTCGCGTAGGACAGCGTCGTCTTCTGGGCCACCGAGTTCGATAGACATGTCGACCGTAGCGGGGATGACAATGGTCTGGAGGATGTCGCGAAGAAACCAGCGCCACCCGCGAAGCTGAACGGTGCGCAGCCTCGGGAGAACTACCTTCTCCATGTTGGGGTCCACGCCACCCTGTCCGAGCTCGAGGCCGAGGTCTTCAACGTTGGGGCAGGAACGGAGGATATCGACGAACATCGCATAGTTGCGGATCTGCGGGCCCCAGAGGTGTAGCACAGAGAGTTGATTGTACACTGCATCGGGGCCGGGGGGAATGGCGATCTTCTCGACTGTCAAGGACCGCAATTTCGGGAACTTGGCGACTGGGAGGGGCATCCTGCGGATGCCGAGCGAAGGATTCTCGGCGTTCACGACCCAACTTGTCGGCTGCTCGATGATCGCATCCAGGCGCTCCAGAACTGGCATCGGGTGCTGCAGGAGCGAGGCGACGTGGACCTTGTGCCTCTGGTGGATCGAGCTGATGGAGAGACTGTGCAAGCGGTGCAGGTGAGGGAGGATCGTCGTCGCAGCTTCCGGTACAGCGTCGCGTTTGATGACGGAGACACCGATGGTGAGCCCCTTCGACCGAACGAGACCAGTGCGCAGGAGGTTGAGGCTCTTGCTGACGACGAGCTCACGCCAGAGATGCGGCGCCGTAGCGGCAACCGCGAACCAGTGCCGACACACCAGCAGGACCGCGGGCCAGTCCGGGGAAGTGCCTTCCTCCGTTCCCGCCTGGACGGCGAGGAATATCTCGAGGAGAATCTCGTTGGGCAGTCGGTTGACCGGTGCACGGGTGTTCACGAGGGCGGAGATGCTTAAGAACTCGTTGCAGAGGTCGTCCATCCGAACGAGCAATTGAGGGGAGTTGCACGGGTTCGTAGTATTCAAAGGCCGGAGTCCGTAGTATGGTCCTTGCAGGCCCTCTGCACGGAGGAGGCCCCTGAGCCAGGTCAGTACCATGGCGCGACGAGTCGATAGTACTGGTCTTACTCATGATCTGGCAGCGGACTTGATGTCTCCATGGTTGGACTGTTCTTGTACACAAATCAGTAGGTTTCTTTCTAGGCTGCGCGCAGAAGCGCAGTCTGCGACTCACGTTGAAGTTTGCCCGTGAGGAAGAGGAGGATACTTAGTGAATGCTGATGGCGGAGCAGACGAAAAGGAGGCCTGACACAGGCGCCCGGTCTTGTCAGCGTGACCGTGACTTCTGTCTCTCCTCCTCCTCCTCCCAGCCACCACTTGTCGGGCTCGCTCACTGCCTGCAGGCTTGGGGTCTGATATATAGCACATTGGCCCAGGAGAAGGGTAGATTGTCCGCCTGGCTAAGGCACGAGCGTATGTCTGCAATTCATGATCAGGATTCAGCACGAACCGGTTCGGAGTCATGTACTTTTCGATTGAGCTCACCCGTTGCGCGTTCAAGGGGGTAGACGGACATCAACCTGAGATTCATATCCGCAGCCATGCAGAGACTCATCAGACTGATTGTGAAGTCTGCCCGGCGGAAAATCCGCTGAACTCATTTACGGAAAGCACAGCTGGCCGGATATCGAGAGTTAAGCAGCTGAAGTTTCTCGCAGAAGCATCATCGCTGCGTCGACCCCCCAGTCAGTGAACCCTAAAGTATGCGCGAAATGGACCAGCACTCACCTATCTCTGGTTTCTCGGAGGGCCGAGGTGACACTAGAGCCCTACCCGGGGAGGGTTACAGAGGTAATCGCGCCGTTCGAATTGCCAAGGTCAAGTTAATAATCTACGTATACACGATCGAACTCCATGAGACGTTATGATGACTAGGGAGTAACCTATTCTACAGCAGGTGCACGTGTGCGTGTGGGGCCCGTACTACTTACGAAAGTCTGAGAAGGAAACTGAATGGTATGAATCGCATAACTGAGGAGAAGGCGGACACCGGCGGGGAGCGGAACAATATGGGATAGAAGAAGGTTGAAGGTGTGTACGTGAGGGAAGATGCATCGATGCAAGAGGAGGCGTAAGAGGTAGGTGAGAGCTACGGAGGGAGATAGAAGAGGTACACGTCGGCCTATGTACACGATCGACGTATGTGCGAAGAGCAATACATCCACAAGATAAGATATCACTGTACAGCAAGCAAAGAGCCTCTGATTGTGGTGTGTGGAACTTGAGTGCTAGAGATACATAACTGTCGCGCATTCCTACTGACCCTTGCGTCCGCGTCCGCGCCGTTCACTCCGCCAGTCCTTCCTACATGCAGGGTCCTTGTATGCGCACCATTCACGCCTTGTGCGCCGTCGGGCATTATGGCGCCCACACGCGTATGCGCCTACCGCACGGGGATGCTCGCCATCGTCTGCGTGCGACGAAGTGCGTTGGCGCGGACCGGCGCGGGGGGCTCCTCGTACACGGGAGTGCCGGAGCGCGACGAGCCGAGCAATTGAGAACTCGCGCTGCGCGACAGGGTGCGGCTGAGCGTGCGAGATGGGCCTGCCGGTGGCGTGCCCGACGAGCTCACTCGGCGACGCTTGTCGGCGTGAACGTCGTTACCAGACGCATCGCGGTGGCTGGTGGCGGGAGATTGGGTGGCAGAAGACTGAGTGGAAGAAAGTTGGGTGGCGGAAGACTGAGTGGCGGAAGCCTGGGTGGCGCAAGGGGTGGCGGGAGTTTGGGACGCACTGGCAACAGTGGAGAGCGGCAGATGCGCAAATCTTTGCGCGAAAGACGAAATACGTTGAGGCCCGTCGTCCATGCCTGGCTCGTCGGGAGGGACATATATGCACTCCTCCGGGACGTCGTCGTCCAACGACCGGAACGCCTCCATGCGTAGGGCGGCGCGGTAGGCCGCGGTGGGCCTCTTGTGCGACTTGGGAATGCAGACCGGGTAGGGGCCGTTGGGACGGGACATGTAGTCGCCGACTGCCTTCCAATCGCCCTCGCGCCAGTTGCGTTCGGCCTCCTCGTGCGTTATCCACCCGAGGGCGAGCAGGTTGCAGAGGACCT